GGTTTCACCATGTTGACCAGGATGGTCTCGATCTCTTGACCTTGTGATCCACCCGCCTTGGCCTCCCAAAGTGCTGGGATTACAGGCTTGAGCCACCGCGCCCGGCCTGGTTCAAGCGATTCTTATGCCTCAGCCTCCAGAGTAGCTGGGACTACAGGTGCATGCCACTATGCCCAGCTCATTTTTTACATTTTTAGTAGAGACGAGGTTTCTGTTGGCCAGGCTGGTCTCAAACTCCTGACCTCAGGTGATCCACTTGACTCAGCCTCCCTAAGTGCTGGGATTACAGGTGTGAACCCCCGCACCTGGCCCTGGCTGCTTTCAAGCTGGCCTTTCTGTGAGAAGACTGAGAGGCCCTGTGTTGACAGAGGTCTCAGCAGTCATCTAGTTCAGCTTTCTCCTGGTGTGGGCTCCCTTCTGTAGTGTCCTAGTCAGGCGGCCATCAAGTCATGACTTGGCCATTGCTGTTTTGGGAAACCTGACTTTGGAGGTGGCCAATTCCACCGCTGAACAGCTTTCACTCTTGACTACAGATGTGCACCACTACGCCAGGCTAATTTTTGTATTTTTAGCGGAGGCAGGGTTTCACCATGTTGGCCAGGATGGTCTCGATCTCTCGACCTCGTGATCCACCTGCCTTGGCCTCCCAGAGTGCTGGGATTACAGGCGTGACCCATCATGCCCGGCCAGCGTTCACTCTTAGTGCCTCCTTTTACTGACCGCAGACCTGCATCCCTGTCACTGCCACCTGCTGACACATCTTCTGCCTTTGGAAACAACCCCTGTTGAAACCAGCCTCTTCCACCTGACTGCCCTTCAAGCTCTGAAGCAGGAGTCCTGTTCCTGAGGTTGTCCATTTATCGGCAGCCACTCTGTGCCCGCACCGGGCTGGCATTCTGTGTATGCTGTTAGATTTAACCTCATGAAACCCTGCAAGGAAGATACTGTTGCAATCCCCATTTTATAGAGGGGGAGGTTGAGGCTCAGAGAGGTTAAGTAATGGTTCAAGGCCACACAGTAACAAAAGGACAGGCCTGGGAATTTCACCCAGCTTCTCAGTACCATGTTAACCAGCTCCAGTTCCTTCTACTCTTCAGAAGCCTCCTGCGCCACCATGGTCAGTTTCCTCTAGAGACCTGCAGCGGGGCCGTGTCCTTGTTACTATGTGGTGACTGGTGGAAAGCATGACACTCCCGTGTGGCCTGTGCCGGCCACGGTATGTGCCAGAGTCTGGAAGCATCATTTATCTTTCTCAGACCTTCTGCCCTGATTCATCTCTAGGCAGAGCTCCCCAGCCGTCCCCCCTGGCAGGTGAGCGTGTGTGTAAAGGTTTCAGAGTGGGTGACAACCCTGCGGACGGAGAGGTCTGAGCAGCCAGCAGGTCGGGGGAGGGCGGAGACGCGCTCACCAGTGGGGAGGTGTCTGTAGTAGTAGATGACGGGATGGAGGAAGTTGGACTGCCAGGCATCTTCCGTTTGCCCCACAGACCGGTTATCAAAAAAGACGTCCTTGTCGGGGCCAGAGAAATTTCTGCCATATTCCATGATGATGACGAAGAGCCCGTGCTGTGCCTTCCTCCCCGTGAGCATCTCCAGCTGGGCCACCATCTGTAGGGGGAACTCCTCCAGGTACTCAAAGGCGGTGGCATTCCTAGGAGAATGGCAGTGCGGGGGAGGCCCTCAGTGCCACGGCAGGGGTGAGGGGTGTGGAGGGCGGGTGAGCATGCATGTGTGCGCGCACGTCACCCCTCTAAGGGTGTCAGTCAACTAGTGCACACCTCACTTGACATTACTGTTTCAGCTCGGCTCTCACATGTGGGGTAGAGTCCAGAAAATTCCATGTGACTTGGATGGGATATCTGGGGAAAGAGTGTCCCAGGCAGAGAGAACCGTCAGGAAAAAGCCCTGAGGCGTGTGTGAGCACCTTGTGTTCAAGGAACAGAAGAGGCCGACGTGGCTGAGGGGAGTGAACGAGAGGCAGGGGGCAGGAGATGGGGTCAGAGGACTGAGAGGTCAGGTGAGGGAGGGCAGTGCCTCCCGTAACGAGACACAAGGGGTGGTCTGGTCTGAGAGGTGATGCTGCTGGTCGCTGGGGAGGACTGAATAGAACTGGGATCAACGTACCTCAGGTTGCTTTTTTTTTTTTTTTTAGACGGAGTTTTGCTCTAGTTGCCCAGGCTGGAGCACAATGGCACGATCTCAGCTTACCGCAACCTCCGCCTCCCGGGTTCGAGCAATTCTCCTGCCTCAGTCTCTCCAGTAGCTGGGATTACAGGCATGCGCCACCGTACCCAGCTAATTTTTTGTGTTTTTAGTAGAGACGGGGTTTCTCCATGTTGATCAGGCTGATCTTGAATTCCTGACCTCAGGTGATCCACCTGCCTCAGCCTCCCAAAGTGCTGGGATTACAGGCATGAGCCACCGTGCCCGGCCATGTCTCAGGTTTCTAAGGACCACTCTGGTTACCTTGCTGAGAACAGACCACAGGCTAAGTGGGGCAGCTGTGGTATGGGTGCAGGTGACAGAGCCTGGTAATTGGGACTGAGGTGGTGGTGGTGGAGCAGGTGGGAGCCAGCTGGGTTCCAGGCATCATCTGAAGGAAGAGGTGACAGGACTTGCCCACAGTCTGCATGTAGGGTGTCATTTGAGACAGGGGTGCTGGGCATGGTGACTCACACTTGTAATCCCAGCACTTTGGGAGGCCAAGGTGGGTGGATCACCTGAGGTCAGGAGTTTGAGACCAGCCTGGCCAACGTGGTGAAACCCTGTCTTTACTAAAATTAGCTGGGCATGGTAGCATGCGCCTGTAATCCCAGCCACTTGGGAGGCTGAAGCAAGAGAACTGCTTGAACCTGGGAGGCAGAGGCTGCAGTGAGCCAAGATCGTGCCAGTGTACTCCAGCCTGGGTAAGACAGAGCGAGACTCTGAGTAAAAAAAAAAAAAAATTAGCCAGGCATGGTGGCAGGTGCCTGTAATCCCAGCTACTTGGGAGGCTGAGGTAGGAGAATTACTTGAACCTAGGAGGCAGATGTTGCAGTGAACTGAGATCGTGCCACTGTACTCCAGCCTGGGTGACAGAGCGAGACTCTGTCTTAAAAAAAAGACAGGTGCAGGGGCATGGAGGGTGACTGGAGGGTTTTGTGCAGAGCTCGGCTGTGCTACCTGCATGTCCCTGAACTTGATGTGCTGCGGCACGCCCTGCCTTTGGATCGGGCTGTTCCCCAACTGAAGGCTGCTCCCCTACGTCTCCCCGCCACCTGTCTCCCCCGTCCCTCATCCCTCTGCACTCTTTCCTTCTCAGGAATTGTCCATTCTCTGGGATCTGCCACTTATCACTAAATTGATTCCAACGATGGTGGCCGCCGAGGCCCGGCCTGAGGGAGCTCTGAGATCCACACGGCTGGCTCTCACTACTGCTCATCCACGTGGTGCCAGACACTTTCCATGAGTGACCTTTACTCCTTCCTTCACTGCTGCAAGGCAGGCACAATTATCCCCATTTTGCAGATGAGGAAGAAAGGCTCAGAAAGGCTCATTCATGTGCCCATGGCCACTCATAGGGCTGTCTGTATAGTTGACGTCACCGTATTGCCCCAGAACAGACATCTTTCCCCCTGCAACTTTCATCTTAGGAAGGAACCAGGCACCCCATAGCTGGAATAGGAAGAGAAGCGCTATGGCGGGTATCGGTGGGAAGCTGGGTTGAGGGGAGTGGGGTGGGGACGGGCTACTCACTCCTTCAACAGGATGACATCGGCCAGCACACCGAACATCTGGTAGAGCCCAGAAGCCTCATTCACACGCCGCACGATGGAGCTGGTCAGCTGTGTGATGGGGAGCTCGGTGGCCGGCCAGGCGATGCCGTGATGGCGGTGCTCCAGGAGCCGGTGAACAGCACGTGCTGGAACGGCCGGAGGGAGGAAGAACAGCACGCTGCGCTTACGATTTTATCTCTGGTCACCAGGAGGGATACCCAGGCCTCATCAACCACTTAGAACACCATACACACTGGTCTGCATGGCCCAGAGCAAATGTGTAGGCGGTGAACACGCAGGGAGGAGATGGCTGATGCCTTTAGAGCAGGGCCAACAGGAATTTTCTGCAAAGGGCCAGACACTCCATATTCTCTGCTTTGTGGGCCACACACTACTCAGTGACCGGCTCAATTCTGCTCCTAGTGTAAAAGCAGCCAAGACAACAGGCAAAGGAGTAAGCACGGCTGGATTTGGTCTATAGGCCAGAGTCTGTCCGCCCGCTTCAGGCCTTCAGCACGTGGGAGTCCCACCAGCCCTACTGCACACAAGGAATGTCAAGTTCCACATGAAGTCTTCCTCAGAAACCTTTCCCCCTTCACAGCCCTGTTTCCATCAGAGACTCCCATATGGAAATCTTTGATTTCTCCCTCTCTTTCACAGCCTTAAATCCAGCCATCTTTAAGTTTTTCTTTCTTGTTTTTTTTTTTTTGTTTTTTTTTGAGACGGAGTTTCGCTCTTGTTGCTCAGGCTGGAATGCAATGGCACGATCTCAGCTTACTGCAACCTCTGCCCCCAGGTTCAAGCGATTCTCCTGCTTCAGCCTCCTGAGTAGCTGGGATTACAGGCATGTACCACCACACCAGGCTACTAAGTTCTTTTTAAAAATATTTTTTATTTAATTTTTTTTAGACAGGGTTTTGTTCTGTCACCCAGGCTGGAGTGCAGTGGTGCGATCTCGACTCACTGCGACCTCTGCCTCCCGGGTTCAAGTGATTCTCTTGCCTTAGCCTCCTGAGTAGCTGGGATTACAGGCACATGCCACCGCGCCTAAGTTTTTGTAATTTTAGTAGAGACGGGGTTTTGCCATATTGGTCAGGCTGATCTCTAACTCCTGATCTTGTGATCCGCCCATCTTGGCCTCTTAAAGTGCTAGGATTACAGGCGTGAGCCCTGACACCTGGCCTACACTTGATTATATTTTATTTTTGAGACAGGGTTTTGCTCTGTCGCCCAGGCTGGACTGCAGTAGCATCAAGATGGGTCACTGCAACCTTGTATTCCTGGACTCAAGGGATCCTCCTGCCTCAGCCTCCCAAGTAGCTAGGACTACAGGCGTGGACCTTTACACTTTATCTGATACTTTTCTAGACATGTCTTCAGACCACAAAAACCTGTTGTCCCCTCCCCAAGACAGTTTATGACCATGATTAGCAATCCCTTGATGCTTCTGGACGTAGGAGTACATTTATAAGCCCTGGGATGCTGAAAGTGGTTCCATCTGGGGACAGTGGCCTTCTCAGCTGGGCTCACCTGTGTATCGGAATCCGTGGATGAAGCCCCCAGCAGATTTCCGGTAGTCTACCGAATGGCTGGCGGTACCCAGGACAAACAGACCCCGGCTTCCTTTGGATTCGTAGCTAGCTCGGATCAGTGGGTACTTCTTGCCAAATGCATTTCCCGAGTTAAGTCTGAGGGACCTGTCAGTGGAAAAGGCTGTTCGTGAAAATAGCTGCTATGTAGGAGGCACTTATTTATTTATTTGAGACAAAGTTTTGCTCTTGTCGCCCAGGCTGGAGTGCAATGGGGTGATCTTGGCTCACTGCAACCTCCGCCTCCTGAGTTCAAGTGATTCTCCTGCCTCAGCCTCCTGAGTAGCTGGGATTACAGACATCTGCCATCAAGCCCAGCTAATTTTTGTATTTTTAGCAGAGACGGGGTTTCACTGTGTTGGCCAGGCTGGTCTCGAACTCCTGACCTCAAGTGATCCGCCTGCCTCAGCCTCCCAAAGTGCTGGGATTACAGGCGTGAGCCACAGCACCTGGCCTCCAAGCACGTTCTTATGTTAATCCTCACAATAACCATATGAGAAAGAAACTATGAATCCCATTTGAGAGAGGAGGATGCTGGGCCACAGCATGGTGAAATAACTTTCACCGAGCTCACAGATTTGTCAAACAGACCTCAGGACAACCCAACACCTGTGATCTGCCACTATGCCACATGTCTGTCTGGGCTGGCCTTTCCATCTCACAGGTGGAGGCTCCCAGTGCTGATAAAGACCTGTTGCTGCTGCTCCAGGACCAAAGGCTTTAGGGGCACCTGGGACCCTCAATGGTCAGAGAGCTCACGTCCTGGAGAGAAATCAGGCAGCACTCACATCCGTTCTTAGGGTGCTGTCCCGAGAGCCCTGCCGCCAGCCTACTAAACAGCCACTCTGTTCCCCTAGGGAGGGGTCAGGAGGGTTTGCTAGGCGATCCCACTTGCTCCCGTATGGAACTTACTTATTGAAAATGGAGAAGTCAAAGTTCCAGCCCAGGCAGCGGATGACCCGATCATAGGGCACGCGCATGGCAAAGTTGTCGTTGTCGTCCTGGGGGAGGGTGATGGAGTCGGTACTCTGGTTGGTGCCGGCTTCTTCCAGGAAGAATTTCAGGGTGACATGGAACTTGCCTTTGCTGTCCTTCAGGATGGCCAGATCCGTCAGGTCAGACTCGAGCAGGCCGTCCAGGGACTTCAGCTGGTAGGTATCCAGCAGGCCATTGTTGATGGCTCTGGGCCCACAGAAAATGCAGCAACAGAGACTCAGAGGAAGGGTGGACAGGGCAGCTGGGGTCAGGAAGGGCAGGGGAGGGGTGGGGAGGCTCTTTGCACACGCTGGGCTCCCAGCACAGCACACACATGCAGGGATGGGGCCTACCTGAGGTCTCCAACATAGTGGGTAGCCCAGGACAGCCGGACCCGGGAGCGGCTCAGCATGTGGATAAAGTTTGTGACACCCAAGATGTTGTCTGCTGTCTCAAAGGCCGAGTTCCCACGGCCCAGGATCAGCACATTCTGGCCTACGAAGTCCTCAGGGTCCACAGACACAGACTCATAGCCCTCCACGTATTCAGAGCCAGGGAAGTCGACCTGGTTGGGGACTGATAAACCAGTGGCTACAAGGAGGACGCTGCAGGTGGGATAGAGGAAAGATGGCTTAGTCTCTCAGCTGCAGGACCGCTCAGTGAAAACCACGCCCTGGACCCACCTGCCCATCCGCCTCGCTCCAACTCTTGGCCCCTAAAATGCAACAGGACGTTCATTCATTCATTTGTTCATTCATTTGTTTACTGCCTCATTCCGGTGCGCTTGAGAGACTCTGACCTTGTCTCTCTCTGAGCTCACAGTATTTTCCCTAGCACTGTACCGGGGGTTAATTCTGCTCTGTGACAGAGGAGAAGGTGATGCTATGAGAAATGGAGAATTCAGCCGGGCGCGGTGGTTCACGCCTGTAATCCCAGCACTTTGCGAGGCTGAGGCGGGCGGATCACCTGAGGTCAGGAGTTCGAGACCAGCCTGACCAATATGGTGAAACCCCGTCTTTAAAAAGAAAAAATAAGAGAAATGGAGAATTCACCTAACTTTGCACACAGCAGTCAGACCAGGTATCACCCTTGGTGATAAAGCCTGACATTCTACTTTCCCCTTTCTGACTTCTCTGACGGATGCATCTATCTACTGAGCAGTAATTCTGTACCAGGTCCTATACTAAGTGTATCTATGTACCATCTTACTCCTCCAAGCAACCTGGAGGCGGTACGTGTCCTACGTTACAGGTGAGGAGACACAGGCCCTGCAGGCCCATGGCTTCAAAGCTCCTAGAGGCAGCAGAACCAGAATCTAAACACAAATAGGCCTGATTCCAAAGTCTTGCTCCTTCCATTGGCAAGGATCACCATCCAGGGGAAGGCAGCTGGGGACCTGCATCCTGCTGGCCTGCACAAGAATGCTTTGATCACAGGGTGGTTTCAAAAACAGAATCAGAGGCTGGGTACGGTGGCTCAGACCTGTCATCCCAGCAGTTTGGGAGGCTGAGGTGGGTGGATCTTCTGAGGTCAGGAGTTTGAGACAAGCCTGGCCAACATGGTGAACCCCGTCTCTACTAAAAATACAGAGATTAGCTGGGTGCAGTGGCAGGCGCCTATAATCCCAGCTATTTGGAAGGCTGAGAGAGGAGAATCCCTTGAACCTGGGAAGCAGAGGTTGCAGTGAGCTGAGATTGCACCACTGGACTCCAGCCTGGGCAACAAGAGCAAAACTATGCCTTAAAAAAAGAATCGAGCCGCCTTCTTCTTCTTCTTTTTTTTTTTTTGTTGTTGTTGAGATAGGGTCTTGTTCTGTCACCCAGGCTGCAATTCAGTAGCTTGATCATGGCTCATTGTAGCCTCAACCTTCTGGGCTCAAGTGATTCTCCCATCTCAGCCTTCTGAGTAGCTGGCCATGGCAACATGCTGCCTAAAAATATAAGAGTGCAAATCAGTGCAACCCTACTTTCCTTGGGCTGTAGTGGGCAAAGAGCAGGGTTGGGCCTCCGGTAACAGGCGGGAGAGGGTGATCTCTGGTTGAGTGTCTGGCTGGAGGCAGGTCCTGGGCAGATGGCCAGGAAGGGAGAGGCAGTGTGGTGCAGCAGAGAGAACATAGCCTTTGGAGCCAGGAAGATGGGAGCCCAATTTGCAGCTCTACCACTTAGCTGTGTGACACGGAACCAGGGACTCAACTTCTCTGAGCCTCTGTTCTTCATCTGCAAAATGAGGATTCCCCATAGGGGCCCCGTGAAGATTAGGCAAGTTTGGGGATGTCTGCACAACATGAAGCTGTCTCCCAAGCCAAAGAAAGCAAATTCGGATTGCTGGAGCACTGCCTGTTGGGCCTCCCGCTCTGGTTCAGTTCTGAAATCCTGCTGGGCCGGTCTGGAGACGTTCCACCCAGCACTTTTGGAATGTATTTTAGTCCAGGAGAGTAGTCAAGGAGAGTTCTGTGGGTACCTAAGGTGTGCTTACGTTGAATACTTTACCCAGTGCTGCAGCATGACACTGAATATGAAGATATTAGACTGACAGATCCTGGAGGGAAGAAACTGTTATCCTTTGCCTAACATATCTGACTACAATTTTTTTTAAAGGACACACTGGGGAAATGATTGCTGAGCTGAACCTCTTAGCTCTGAGTTTCAGTGGGAATGAGGAGTGGTAGAAATACCCTTCTTCGGCCAGGCACGATGGCTCCCGCCTGTAATTACAGCACTTTGGGAGGCCAAGGGGGGCAGATCACTTGAGGTCAGGAGTTCGATACCAGCCTGGTCAACATGGTGAAACCCCCCATCTCCACCAAAAATATAAAAAATGAGCCAGGTGTGGTGGTGTGCGCCTGTAATTCCAGGTACTTGGGAGGCTGAGGCAGGAGAGTCGCTTGAACCAGGGAGACGGAGGTTGCGGTGAGCTGAGATCCTGCTACCACACTCCAGCCTGGGCGACAGAGTCAGACTCAGTCTCAAAAAATAAAATAATCAAAGGTCAGTTTCTGAAAAAATAAATAAAATAAACGAAAATATAAAAAAAGAAATACCTTTTTTCTTCCATTCCTCCTACACCTACTGGCCAACCAAGGTGTGTGGTTGGTTCGGGTGGGGAAGGTCCCAGCTTCCGTGCAGGTGAGCTCTGGCACTGGCCTTACCTGCACTGGTGCACCTGGCCTTTCTGGTCGGTCAGGATGAAGTAGTGGCCATTCCAGGCCCGTTGGTCCTTGTCCAGAGTGACGTGGGTGATGGTGGTGTTGTACAGGACACGGAGCCCCAGCGTGTCCGTGAAGTCGCCCAAGTAGCGCACCATGTCGTGGGCGTCAGGGAAGTAGGCACGCGAGTAGTGTCTGAAGAGCAACCGGGGGTCGTGGCTGAGCAGAGAGTTCCAGTCGTGGCGCAGGTTGAACTCGGAGTTGGCGTTGCCCGTGTACCGCTTGTTGATGCTGATGAGCTTGCGGTGCCGCGGGTAGCGCGTGAAGAAGCTGCCGGGTCTCTGGGTGCGCTCGAACACTGCGTAGTCGCGTCCGGCGCGCTGCAAGAAGTAGGCCATCTGCAGGCCCGCGGGCCCAGCGCCCAGGACGCAGTAGTCCCGGTGCGTGGGCACTGACAGCGCCGGGTGCAGGGCGATGACCAGGAGCAGCCCCGGGGAGCTCCACAGTGGGGCCAGGGCAGAGAGGCCCATCCTGCGGCAGACCAGAGGGGTTAGGCCTTGCTTCGGGAAGGCAGGGAAACACGAGGCCAGGAAAGAGGCGGGGGCCGGCGGGAGCTCTCACCGCAGTCTAGGGCAGGGTCAGGCCCAGAAGCCGCCTTCCTCAGAGCTCATTTGCCCGACTCCACCGTTTCAAGCTGGGACCTGGGGCTCCCCGGAATCATGAACCCCTCCATCTCATCTCCTTCAGGGTCTCCTTCCCCAGGGGTGCCAGCTCCCCGCATATGAACGTGGTAACCTCCACCCTGGGGAAGGAAAGGGTGCTCCCCAATTTTCTCCCAATTTGAGGGTGCCCAATACCCTCTTGGGCCCCCCCCCCAGGTTGGACCTTCCAGAGGTGCAGTTCGACTTGGTCACGCCCCAGCGCTCGGGCTAGAGCCTGAAGGGGGTGCGGCTTGTGTGCGCCCCGCCCCCGGCCAGGATCCACTGGCCCCCCGGCTGTTCGGCCACGTGACATGGATGCCCCCCAAACACACCTGTCGCCAGTCCGCGTGCGCTTTGCTAGCTGCTGCCCACGCCTGCCGGTGCCCACGCCCGCAGCTCCCGCCTCCTCGCCGCCTGCCGACCCCTGAGAAGCGCGCGAACCTCCCAGCAACTCCGACTGCAGTCAGTTGCCGAGTGGGGCCGCTGTCGGCTAGCGGGCGCCGCGGCGGCCCCGCCCCTCGCGCCCGGACCAATGGCAGGGGGCGGAGTCACGTGCGCGACGCGCGTCACGCTGGGACCGGCTGGCAGGCCGCAGGCTCCAAACCTGGCGCTGAACAGGCACGCACGTGCTGCGCGCGGTTCTCCAGGGGCTGGTGGAGAGGCCTGGGGCTGGCGCGCACTGGCGACCGTGGAAAGGCTGGAGATCCGGGTTGGGGCACTGGGTCCTTTTTAAAATGTGCCTCTCTACACGGGGGCGTGGGGATCACGTGATCTTTGGAGAAAATTCCAGTTCTCATATTCCATGAATGTAGGCAAACAATAAAACTAGTTGCCCTATCCAGTTTTGTGGGACTGCAGACCAGGGAGGTGGAGCCAGGATAAGCTAATTAACAAGCGTTTGCTACGCTGACTCAGTGTACTGTTTACTAAGTAACATACACGACTGTCTTGATCTTCCACCCAACAGCAGAGGTGGGCAAGGGATTGTTTCCGACATTTGGGAGCTGACTGGCCAAAGGGAGACTTAGAGATGAAGGAATATGATTATAATCACAGGAAGTAGAGCCTGGAATTAAAACTCAGTGGAGGGAAGATAAATGGCAGGAGGGAGATGACATGAACTGGATGATCAAGGTTGGCTTCCCAGGGGTGGCATGTGGCCCCTGCATGAGATTTACATAGGAAGAAATATGAGGTCAGTGTAGGAACCTTCAAAGTCCAGTGAAATGGCGCTGAGTGTTCTTGTGGGAAGGGCAGGTGGAAAGAACGGCGATCTTGCAGCTTTGCATGGCTGGAGATTCTTTAATTAAAAATCGTATCCGAGACTCCCTGGAAAAACTTCCATGACCTCTCAGGCCAAAGTTCATACCAATGTCATTTATTTTCTTCAGTCTGTATCAACATCAGAGAAAAGCTTCTTCAGAGCAGAAGTTGTTCAGTATCTGACATACACAAGTTCCACAGTAAGCATTTGTTGAATAAGCATTGTAACCAGAGAGGCTAGGCAAAATACTCTGCCAAAAATAAGTAGGGATGTCTATTTCTTTTTAAGACAGTCTTACTGTCACCAGGCTGGAGTACAGTGACACAATCATGGCTCACTGCAGCCCTGACCGCCTAAGGTTTAAGTGATCCAGCTGCCTTGGCCTCCCAAAGTGCTAGGATTGCAAGGGTGGGCCATGACACCTGGACAATTTTTCAAAAAAAATTTTAGTGGGCAGAGTAGATGTATAATTTATGGGGCATATGAGATGTTTTGATACAGTTATGCAATTTGGGGATGTCTGCTTCTTGGTGGTTGTGAAGATTATGAGAATGGGTGCTGGCAAAAAGTTCCTAAACTGGTGGCTGGTCTTACTTGGTGAATGCAGTAGTGGGAAATTAAACAGAATTCGTAAAGTATGGCAGGGCCCTAAGACTAGGCTGAACCTAGATTATAGGCAACAGGATGCAACTGGGAGTTTCTGAATGCAGGATTACTGCAGCAGTCAACTTGGTAACCCCATGCAGGACAGATAAATGCAGAGGAAAGTATTTTTAGAGAATAAGCCTGAGTCACTTCCACTTGCTTTTCTGTTAATCCTGTTGGAGTGGGCCATGGGTTTGCAAGAGGCAATTTGGTGAACACTGGTCCAACCTGGAAACCTCTGGCACTAGCAACACCACTTTAATCTGTTTTTAAACACGGTATTCACAATGAAAACTCCCCATGTACACTTCTCTCCACTGCTTCTAGAACAGTTCAAGAAATCTTTTGCTTCCTTTCTGAGGGTCGATTCTTTTCATTAAAATTAGTTTCAGTGTTTTTTTCATGCTTTTTTTTTTTTTTAAACAGAAACACACACACACAAATACCTGTAACTTTAGAAATGCTGAGCTTTGGGCCGGGCTCGGTGGCTCACGCCTGTCATCCCAGCACTTTGGGAGGCCAAGGTGGGTGGATCACCTGAGGTCAGGAGTTCAAGACCAGCCTGGTCAACAGGCTGAAACCTCATCTCTACTAAATATACAAAAATTAGCTGGGTGTGGTGGTAAGCATCTGTAATCTCAGCTACTCGGGAGGCTGGGGCAGGAGAATTGCTTGAACCCAGGAGGGGGAGGATGCAGTGAGCTGAGATTGCACCATTGCACTCTAGCCTGGGTCACAGAGTGAAACTCTTGTCTCAAAACAAAACAAAACAAAGAAATGCTGAGCTTTTTTTGAGACAACCTCTGTCACCTAGTCTGGAGAGCAGTGGTGTGATCTCGGTTCACTGCAACCTCCACCTCCTTGGTTCAAGTAATTCTATGGCCTCAGCCTCTCGAGTAGCTGGAATTACAAGCGGGGTTTTTTTTTTTTTGAGCTGGAGTCTCACTCGCTCTGTTGCCCAGGCTGGAGTACAGTAGCGCAATCTTGGTTTACTGCAACCTCCACCTCTCAGGTTCAAGCAATTCTCTTGCCTCAGCTTCTTGAGTAGCTATGATTACAAGCACCTGCCACCACCCCTGGTTAATTATTTTGTATTTTTAGTAGAGACGGCGTTTCACCATATTGGCCAGGCTGGTCTCAAACGCCTGACCTTGTGATCAGCCCCCTCTGCCTCCTAAAGTGTTGGGATTACAGGCGTGAGCTACAGCGCCTGGCTGCCTGGCTAATTTTTGTAGTTTTAGTAGAGACGGAGTTTTGCTATGTTGCTCAGGCTGGTCTTAAACTCCTGACCTTAGGTGATCTGCCTGCCTCAGCCTCCCAAAGTGTTGGGATTACAGGAATGAGCCACTGCACCTGGCCTTTTTTTTTTTTTTTTTGGGATAAAGCGTCTCCTTCTGTCACTCAGGCTGGAGTGTAGTGGTGTGATCATCGCTCACTGCAGTCTTACTCCTGGGCTCAAACAATCCCACCTCAGGCTCCTGAGTAGCTGGGACCACAGGTGGAAGCACTATGAATAGCTAATATTTTATTTTTGAAGAGACAGTCCCTGTTCTCCTTATGTTACCCAGGCTGGTCTCAAACTCCTGAGCTAAACTGATCCTTCTGCCTCAGCTTCCCAAAGTGTTGGGATTAGAGGCTTCAGCCACCACGCCCAGCTGTTTCCCCACCTCTATAATATGATGGTATTACTCCTGCCGGCATCACAGCTCTGCATGAGGCTTAGCTACTACAGAAAGCTCAGCATAATACTTGACAGGGTAATTACTCCGTAAAGTGTCCAGAACAGAACAGTGTCCACTTAAGTTTACATATCCTGGCCAGGCGCGGTGGCTCACGCCTGTAATCCCAGCACTTTGGGAGGCTGAGGTGGGTGGACTGCTTGAGGTCAGGAGTTCGGGACCAGCTTGCCCAATATGGTGAAACCCTATTTCTACTAAAAATACAAAAATTGGCCGGGCATGGGAGTGTGCTTGCAGTCCCAGCTACTCAGGAGGCTGAGGCAGGAGAACTGCTTGAACCCGGGAGGTGGAGGTTGCAGTGACCTGAGATCGTGCCACTGCACTCCAGCCTGGGAAAGAGAGTGACACTCCATCTCAAGCAAACAAAAAGTCAACTTACAAGCCGTTACAGTCATTAGCCATGATTGGACATCCATCAAGCTCCCCGCGGCAGCCTCCCTTACCGCAGCAGCCCACCTCATCCATGCTCTGCTTCCTCTGCACTCCAGCTCTCCAAAAGCAACAGCCGGCTCTCGCACGTGGCCAGCAGGCACTCCTGCTTGTGGAAATGGGCTTCTTATAACAAATGACGACACCCAGACTCTGAATTCCAGATGGAAATTGCTGGATCTCATCCGCACTCTGCGAGGAATCTTTGAAGAAAGGACTGGAAATTGTACTGCAGGCATACGATGAGGGAGACTAAACATGTATATTTTATTTCATCTGCTACACGTCAGAGAGCAAGTTAGACAACATTCCACTACACATCAAAGGCCCTCGAAGTCTGGGTGGAAGGACAAACTCCGGCTCCACATCACTGGTTTAAGTTTCTTCCTCTGAAAGACAAAAAAATGTAAGAGAAATGAGCCAGGTTGTGTGATATGACATTCACTTTCCTTCAGTCACCAGCTGGTGGAGCAGGAGAGACAACTTTGAGGCTGTATAACTAACCCGGAGCGGACCTTTTCCCTCTAGACCACGGGCTTCCATCAGGGACTTGCATCATCTTTCTCCACCTCTGGTGCAATCCGGCCACTTCTCTAAAACACCACTATCCTCCCCAACCACTTAATGTGACTGAAGGCTCCGGAAGAAGCTCTTGGAGCCAAAGTGAATGCTTCTTCATACGTAAGCCTCAGATTTCTCAGTTTTTATCAAGGTTAAAGATCACTATGGCCACAGAGCTTGCTCCCTCGCTAGCTCACAGACCACTCTAGACCTCAGAAAGTGGGTTGCTGCACACCTTCTTCTTCCTCTTCCTCTTCCTCCTCTTCCTCCTCATCTTCATCAGAGCTGAAGGTGCCATCGGGGAGGCTGTAGACGCGGATGACCTGTTTGTTGGGGTCCTTGAGGATGAGGTATTTGCCCTCCTCCAGCTTCATGCAGATGTCGATGACGCAGCGCAGGATGCCCCAGGCGTTCTCCACGCTCAGATTAATCTGGCTGGCAAACTCATTAGGCTTGAATTGCTGGGTACCCAGGATGACGTGGCGTGAGGAGTCTTTCACATGGTACCGAGACACATAACTAATGGGGGAAGGGATATCAGTGGTCAGAGCAAGGCGGCACAGAGACAGCAACACTTGGGCTCAAATGTCAATTAAATGGTGATACCTGGTCCACTGCTATTTTCAAGGGAAATGGAAAACTCAGTCT